ACTTTTGTTCATTTTTTTTCCTGCAGTTTCTAATTTTTCGGGAAAAAAAATCGCACTTCAAAATCCTTACTTCTGAATCCTTACTCCATAATCCCTGCTCCATAACCCCTGCTTCGTAATCCCTGCTCCAATATACCGGGTATACTGTAAAGCAAATTTAGCTAGTTTAGAAGATGAGTGGCGTGCGCTTCATTCTTCCAGCACACAAGTGGAAACTTGGTGCGATACATCACCGTGACCAGGAGTTTTCCTGCCCGTCTTTCCCTCTCTCGCTGCCCTCCTCTCCCTACAGAGGTGACGGTGGTCTGTCGGCTCGGCCGCTCTCCGGACCGGGGCCGGGCGGGGGACTTTATTTATTAACTCTCTCGTTTCATTTGTACGATATTATTTATTATTTTCCCGGTTCTCCTCGGTGGCGTTTATTTATCGAAACGGTGGGTGACAATGGCCCCCTAATGGCGCGCGTGGCGCGCTCTGGCGGCGCCGAGCGGAGCCGAGTGGAGCCCGGGCCGAGCTGCGACGCGACGCCGCCTTCCGGCCGAAGCAGTCCCTCCTCCTCCTGGCAGTGCCATGGCCGAGCGCCGAGCCGAGCCATGACTGGCACTGCAGAGAAGGCGTGGCACTGGTTGGGCTGGTCAAGCATTTGTGGGACTTGCAATGAAGGTTCATTGCCAAAATCTCGGCAATGAAGGTTTATCGCCAAAATGTTGGCAGTACCTAAAGGTACTATGCCATTCTGTCGGCTCGGCAATGATGAAATTGCTGATAAATTAGGGGAAAACATTCAGAACCATTTTTCGATTCTTTGCCACTTTTGGCAACCATTCACTGCCTACTTTTGGCTTATTGCATTTGCGCAGGTCGAGGCGCAGGTCATTAAGGTCACTGGCCTTCCACTCATCATTGCCATTCGAAAAACAGTGTACGTAAAATCTGTCCTCGAGCTGATCTACTTGAAATACAAATTTGCAATCACGGTACAGACAAAATAAAGCATGTTCCTAGAGAAGACCTCTTTATATTGGAAAGAAGAAGACACATCTCAAACCTAAGCGAAGTTTTTAAACCTGATTCTAATGCTTTTTTCTTTCGTCCACATATGTTGCAGGCTTTGGTTCAGAACAAACTAAGCTCTGCAGAGTTCCCAAAAGTACGCTGTCTTGGTTTACTCCAAACCATAGTAAGT